TAAAAATTCCAATATATAAATTCAATGTCAAGCTCAAGTCTAAAGGTGTGATCAAATCTAATTAACTCATTTAAAAACATTATTTTAAAATAAAATTAAATATTAAATATATTAAAATTCAAGAGTTCAAATATAAAACTATATTTAAAAATATATAAATTTTATGTTTTTATAACAAATGACTCTTTATCATGACTTCCAAATTCGCAAAAAAAACTTTTATAATTCCATTATACTAATCCCTTAAATCACAATTATTTTCCATCTTTCCTTTAATAAAAAAAGTAAACCTATGCTTCATTTTCCTGCTTTTTAAAGCAATATTTTAATTAAAAGTACTTTTTTGAAGCTATTATAGCCATTACAAGTTATATTTAAAAAAAAAATTGGAAAAATTGGTACATAATTTTTTGAAAAATAATAAGAAAATGATAATCATGCAAAAAGACATAGCAACAATCTGAAAAATAAAACAATTGATCACATCGTTTAACATCAGAAATCTCCCTATAAAACGTCAAAACACATACTGCAATAAAAGGCTGGAAACCGCTAAGATCAAACATAAGCGAAAGTGTATAAATATATACAAAATTTTGCTTTGATGCAGAGAGCATGAACAACATCAACAGCCGTTAAGACACTCAAAACATCAAAGAGCAACGGCTGTTTTACCATTAGTAACACATTGGACAGCAAAAGAGAATCTGATTCTGGTCAAAAGAATGCTATGAGGGAATTCAAACCTACAAAAAGAGCAAAATTTCTGAACTGTAGAGAGCTATTTCCAGAGCTTCACAAACTTATCATGGCTGGCTGAAGCCACGAGTCCATTGGCATTTGATACAGCAAGAGATGATATCAGTCCTTCATGTGCTGCAAGTGTCAATCTCTTCTTCTCAGCCATATCCCATAGTTCCAGAGACTGCATGGTGGAAGCTTTTTGTAGTTTAGAAATGAAATTATACTCAGAATTCCGTATGCAATTCAATCTTCTACCTCACAACGAATTCTGAGGAAACTAATCTTATAAGGTGTAAGGCATTATATTTTCTATCTAATTTACTATTGGCTAGTTTAGCACTATTGATTTTTATCAAAATTTGATATCAGAAATCTGATTTTGTAACAATTTAATTTGTTTTATTGGCTTATTGAAATTTTCTCAAGCGCCCGCTGAAATTGTTGAATATTTAAAATCATTTCATTCTCAATTCAGTTTTAAGACTACCATTCCCAATCTTTTATTAAAAGAGAGTGAGTTTTTGCTTGATTGGTTATTAGAAATATATAAATTTTAAATTTTTAATAAATTTAAAACGGAGGCCTTCCGATTTATAATTTTTGTTAAATAGAGGCCTTCCGATGACCCGGTTAGGAAAGTTGAAGTATTAGATTTGACTTATGTTAATAAAGATAGAGGTAGACCTAAAAAAACTTGGTTAAAAAATATTAGAAATGATATTTTTCTATTAGATTTAAATGAGAATTTGACTTTTAACATGACACAATGGCGAAAAATGATTCATGTAGCCGACCCCACAGTGGGACAAAAGCTTGATGTTGTTGTACGAAAACAAATTGCGCGTCATATTAGTTGTATTAAGAAATCCTAACCATGATAAACCAAGGGTTGTATCGCATCACCATTTTTTTTATAGCATCACCGTTGATTACAAAATCATGATGTGATTAGGGCTGGAACTATGCTAAGAGCTTGAAACTTTAGCTAATAATTGTTTAAATTCTAATCAAATTGAAATTAACTAGCTTCAACGCACACAAGTATGAGATAAGCAATCAAAAACAGCGCACAAAACATGTAGATAACATCTAAAACAAAAGAATAGAAAATACATACCTGATAACAGCCAATGACAAGCAAAGATGGACAGGTAGGGTGGAACACACATGAATGGAACTTATTCCCGCTACAGCTCAATTCATGGATGCACTCACCCTCCCTTCCAGATCCAAGTGACCACACACGAACTGAGTCCTCGCTAACAGAAGCTAATAATTCTCCTGAGGGATTCCAGCAGATTGAGTCAACGTGCTTAGAGTGCCCCTAAACCAGGAATATAAGTTTAGCTTTATACTAAATCAGAAACATACGGAGCAGAATGAAATACTGAACTAGAAAAAATAGCAGAAATAATAGTGAATAGGAAAATGTAGACTGAAGAATTTAGCTGCAGAAATCTGAAATCAAGCGACTTATAGAGAAAGGGATTTAACAGTAAAGTCATCACCAGTCCAATAGTCAAGATTAATCAAGAATTAATTGCTTTTAGTTATTCATTAGTTTTATGATTTTATGAAGCTACAACTTGAAAATTCTCTATACTTGTTCATATATCCTCCTAATATTATTTCCAAAATTTCCATTGAATCAACAAGCTCGCTACCTGCTCTGCTTCAAAAAACAATGAAATCAAAACGAAAACATACAAAAAATTCAACATGATTAAGGCCTACTAGACATCTCAATCAGCATAAATATGAATACATAAAAAAATCATTTCTAATTGTTTAAATAATAATAAAACAGAAGTTGGATAAGGCTGATTAAAAAAAAACACAAAAAAGGACATGAATTTGATTTACAGATACAAACAAACCAGACAGCTATACTTCTGAAATGCAGGTTTGCCGTCCTGAAATATCTTTCTGGGTTATGCATATACACATTTTGCATGGTGAATAATTAATGCACTCCGGCTTTAAAATACACAAACCTGCAATGAATGAAGGCAGCTCTGTGTTTCAACATCCAGAATAGACACAATGTTCTCTGCCGCAGCTGCAAGATATCGACCTAGACGTGGTTGAAACCTCATTTGTGCAGTACCGCCCTGCAAAAAAATATCAAAATAAAACTTCAGGCATTTATGCTCTGCATCAAAGCCCTATATTGAGAATGAAAGCAGAAACAGCGCGATCATAGAGGCAAGTAAATGAGTAATCTAACATGATTCATCTGAAAGTGTAAAGGCAAATAATGAGTTTAAATGAAAGAAAAATAACCTTGAAGACCCTCGCATAGCTACCATTATTAATACTCCAATATCGTATTTCCCCTTCTCCATCACATGAGCATATGAGATCCTCTTTGTTAGGATGAAAGTCCAAAGACATTACAGATGCAGAATGCCCGGTAAAAGTACGAAGAGAATACCCTGGCTGAAATTAGAGATATCATATCAAGCATAGAGATAAAACTGCCAGAAAGTATGGTAGACTTCTAAAGCTAACTCCAAATAATTAGGATAATGCTAAAGATGATAATGGTGATGATGTATGAAAAGAGAAATTAATTCCATATCAAAAATCACAAGTTTGGTACTATAAAAGCATCATCGAAGAACAGGGCGCCCACTCACAAAGATATTTGTCTAAACAAGAATGAGCTTTACTTACATTATCAACATCCCAAACTCTGACAGTTTTGTCAAAAGAAGAAGTTGCCAATCGTGGCAAGGTTGGACTAAACCTAACGTCGGTAATTAGAAAAGAGTGCTCTTCCAATGTTGATTTCTGCTTCAGATTATCAGTAAACCACAAAACCGCCTGCATTGTGGAATCAATATAAGCATAATCATTTAGACAAAGTGCCTTCAACGGTAATAGAAACAAAGGAACAACAGAACCAAAAGTTTAATACATAAATCACATGAGACTCGCCTTTTTGTCATGACCCCCGGTAGCAAGAAGCTTTCCATCTGAAGAGAAGTGGCAACAAACAACCTTGCTTGAACTTGCTCGAATAGATCCAATTTCATTAAAAGTAAAACCTGCCAATTCCACATCAATAGAACCAGACAATCAATTGATAGAAAAGCAAGCTTTCAAGTTGTTAGTACGATACACATTATTTCAAACAAATAATATTCTTATAATCGTAAATACTAGTGCCATTACAATCATCATTGTTAGTACTACTACTATTATTGCTATTATTGCTACTACTAGTAGTAGTATCAATATTATAAGCATACCTTCTGTCACATCCATGCAACGGCCTACAGCATCTCTAGGATCTGTGTCATCATGTGAAAGAAATGATTCAACATTATCATCTAGTGACCCATCTTCCACCAACCGATCCATGTCAGCATGTACTTTGTTATCCCACTGCATAAACAAAGCAGTTAGACATTATATAGAAGTACTTTTTTTACATAAATTTATTACAGGCATTCCAGTGTTAATTACCAACTGATTTGATGGAGATGTTAGAGTTCCCGTGGCATCAGAGCTAAACATCATGAGGGGCTTATTTGAGTTCATAGGCATCGCATCTCCAGGGGTGTGAGTGGAGGGCGTTGAGGGTGCTGAGCTTGGAGAGGGACCAGCTGTGTTTGCAGTTCCTGAACTATTGGCTGGACCAGAAGATGAAACCGGTTGTTTCCTCTTACGAATTGATTGGTTCTTTGAAGCCTATATGAAGTCGTTTTTAATTTACTTTTTCAGGGAAAAATGTGAAATTATTAACAGACAGCTTCCAACAGAATCTGAATTCTCAAATAAACAAAATTTTATTGATCAAACTCTCAAAATCAACAGGAAGTACAATATAGATAATTTAGTTTGATTCTGCATACATAAAAAAACAAATAGAATTTACTTGCTATATACCAAAGAACAGAATATAGTAATTTCAGATGAATATGCTTTGACAAAATGCTTGTGGTACTCGTTTATCAAACAAAGGAAAGAATAAATCAATGAAAAAAAAAAAAAAAGTTTTAAGGTTCATGCTCCAGTCACCTAACCGCAATTCATAGTTCTGAACTTGAAAATGTCCAAATGTAACATGCAGGCATGTGTACTCCAATTTATTTATCTATAATAACTAGATGATGAAGATCAAGTTTACATTTGGGCATTAATGTCAAGCAAAAAAATAAATGCTTTTAAGCAAGGGTTTATTTACTCTTATTATGTAATAATTGATTTATAATTTTCAATATATAAATACCAACACTAAGGCATGTAAAAGCAGCATTTGATTCAGCAAACAGGAAATCCAGTGCATGTTAATGTGTGATTGTTTTGAGTATGGTACAACTGTAACAACCTCCAAGGAAGCCATCTCCTTGTACCAGCGTGAGGTTCTTTTTTTTTATTTTGCGAAATCCTTTGTTTCTAACTAGTTCGGTGTCAGGTAAACTTGATCATAGACATGCTGAATTGGTTGAGTTTTTGTAAGAGAACTGTAATGTCCTTAAACATATTTATGGTATTGAGATTGAAAATTTTGATGCTTTAAGTAGAGTCATGATAATTATTAAATAATGAGTATGTTACGATGACTAACTTTGATAACAAAAAGAGAAGTATGACACTTGTAAGGGCTATGGTGAGATTTATCAAAGCTTACATAATAGTTCATCTATTCTAAGCAAAGACTAAGCGCTTAAATATGGTTATTTATTTAAGGATACTTGTTTTTGCATCCCTGATTCATCTTGGATAGGCGTTCTAATTTTAGAATTAGAATGTTATAGGTGTTTCTAAAAATTTTTGAGTGAGATAAGACTATAACAATAACAAATGCAAATATTACCCCAATTTAACTAGTGGTGGCACACGTATTTTTTCACTGTCTTATTTATCATTCTACTAAGCGTATAAAACATAACAAAGGGGTGCCTTTATTAGTTCCATATAAACCATCCAAGGACGTTATTATGGATTTTGTGTTAGGCTTATCACAAACTTCAAGAAAACCTTATTTTATTTTTTGTAGTAATAGTGACTCATTACATACCATATCATAAAATTATTGATATAGTAAATTATCATTTAATGAGACAATTAAATTGTAATCAATATATAAAATTTCTGAGTTATTTTGGAAAACTACTTAGATAAAAATGAATCACAACTTAAATTATCGATTCATTATGACCTACGAATTAATTGATAAGTTGCAACAAAACAACATCAAACCTTTATCCCACTACGTGGAGTCGGTTATATGAATCCTTTTTTCTCCATTGTGTCCTATTAAAAGTGAAATTCTCATTTAAATCTAATAAAGAAAGTTCATTTATAATATCCTCTAACCAAGTCTTTTTAGGTATACCTCTACCTTTCTTAACATAAGTCAAATCTAATACAACATCTACTCTCCTAACCGGGTCATCGGAAGGCGGCCATTTTATGTGACCAAACCATCTAAGGCGACTCTCTCTAATCTTATCTTCCACTGGAGTTACTCCAACCTTTTTCACGTATATGCTCGTTTCGTACCTTGTCTCTAAAAGTAAAGCCACTCATCCACCTGAGCATCCTCATCTTTGCAACACTTAACTTAATATTATGCTTCTTTTTTGTGGCCAACATTCTGCACTAAAAAGCATTGCAGGTCTCACCACCATCTTATAGAATTTTCCCTTAAGTTTGAGGGGGGTTTTTCTATCATACAACAAGCCCGATGCATTCCTCCACTTCCATCATCCAACTTAAATTCTACTAATAATATCCCCATTTATTTCACCATCACTCTGAAAATTAGACCCAAGATATATAAAACGTGTACTCTTATTAATGACTTGACCATCCAGTCACAATTCCCTACTAGATCTATTACTACTAAAATTACACCCCAAATATTGATATACTCAAACGAAAACCTTAGGACTCTAAGGTTGACCTCCATAATTCAAGTTCAATTTTAACTCCATATCTAGTCTTATCAACAAGAAGAACATCATCAACAAAAAACATACACTAGGGTACAACCTCTTGCAAAATGTCTAGTGAGAACATTCACGACTAAATCAAAAAGATAAGGGCTTAAGGCTAATCTTTGATGTAATAAAACTAAAAAAGGAAAATGCTTGGTCAAACCACCTTGTGTTTGAACACAAGTAACAGCTCTTGTATATATATCATTAATTACTTAAATATAAACATTATTAACCCCTTTCTTTTTCTAGAACTCTCTGGGCTCAGAAAATTTAGCTCCAGCCTCCCCCGTTGCTGCTTTTCTTCATGGAGAGTTTTAATGGATTATGTTACTGGGTAAATTTTGGAAGGCAGATGGGATTGTAGATAAGACACTAGCCAGAGATTTCGCCCTCATTTTGCAAGGACTTTATGATCTGAGTCATGGTTTCCTATAGGCGCAATCCCTTATAGTTAATTATCCCTCCCGATAATGAGACAGAACTTTCGATTAAGGCTAGTCATCAATCAGATACGTAGTATCTGGCATATAGTAGCAACATGAATTTGGTATGTTGGAAAGTTTGATATTTAAAATTGAGAATTTCATCATCTTGCACTTAAAGAGGATGGAGGAATGGATGATGGACCCGATCAAAATCCCATGATTCCGTCGTCCCGGGCCATCGTGGTCAATGATCTACTTAGTCAGAGGAGGTAGTCGACCCAACCTGACAAAAGGATCCTTGTCGGCAGCCATGGCTTGCTTCGTCCAAGGTACCTTATAGACCTGGGTTGAATATTTGTCTAAGGGAACAAATTTGAATCCACCTTAGCTAACAAAGGGCTTTGAGCCCTATCGATTATACTTATTGATTCATATCCCAAGAATTTGATGTCACTAAGAAACGTATTGGCTCTAACTATAATCGGTATTTCATGGTGTCATTTGACGGCAAAACCAATGGGTTCAGAGGGCCCCGTGTCATAACCGTTTATCTTACGGTGTCATTTGGCGGCAAAACCGCCGATTAGAGGACACGTATCATCTCCTTACTAACAGGAGATTATCTGAGAATGGATCCTAGTAATATTTTCGACTAGGCATTAGCTCTATGTGAGCTGCAATAAATTTCAATTTGTCCAACATGGCAAACTGTTGCGGAGGGTGAATGACTTTTGCTTTAAGTGTTTTCATGGAGTACTTCAATTTTAAATATTTGAAATTTTGGAATTTTTTTAGAGTTTGGATGAACATTTGAGTGGCATTTTGAACTATTTGAAATTAACCACTCCGGTTGAGATATACATTCAACAGGGCCATCATCGGGGTGTATGAGGTCATTCATTGACTAAATCTTGTCGACCCTATCAACTTGTCGATGGATCGGGTTTCGTAGGTTTTATACATTTGTTAATGAATTTTCTTTTTTGAAGGTCTTGAAGGCCTTATATGAACTTATAAAACATATATTTTAATTGACACACTGATCATATATCTGTTTGATAATTCAAGCCGTGTTGATTCCCATCTATCAATATAGAAGGATCGGGCTTGAATTACGTTCATTTATTAACCCAAGCAACATTCCTAGATATCACATGTGTACTCTCAACCCTCTCTCTCTCTCTCTCTCTCTCTCTCTCTCTCTCTCTCTCTCTCTCAAGAGAAAAACATATAGATGGAGAGAAATTAGAGAATTTTCAAAACAGGTGTCGAAGACCCGCTCCATCGATCTTAGATCTGGGAATTTTTATTAGGTCCGGACACCTGACGTAGCTCTACGTCCGGACACTAATAAAATGTCGACACGTGCTCTTACTCTTTACCGCGCGGCCCGACGACCCAATATGTCGACACGTGCACTTGAAGTTTTCTCTCTGAGTACTTAAGTTTGTAAGTCCTTTATCTTTTATAAAATCTTGCTTTGTTTCTTTAAATTTATGGCAAAAGTTCTTAGTGACCCCAAGCCAGCGATCCTTGTTTGTGCTGCAATCCATTTGGTATCAAAGCTATATTGGGTTTGTGTACACTCTGGTAAGATGTATAAAGGTATCACTAAATCTGAGCTTAAATATTTTCTTCGAAAGCTTATCACAGATAATTGCAAGTTATGGTAAGACGCTGGGTCTTGATTTGTTAGTCAGTAACCCGGGGGACGAAAGATCGCCGAGAACAGTAGGCGCAGTCCACAGGTGAACAAAACCTATCAAGAGAAACCTAGGAACTTATCTTAACAAGAAATTATTTGTGTTATCCTTTCAGGAAAACTTAAGCAAAGAATATAGGATCCTTGAAGTGATTGCACCCAGAACTGTTCATAAACGATTGGCGTTTATCCTCAGCAAATGGTGATTATAAGGCTGCACTTAAAGCAACTGATAACATTGAACCTCCAGCTTCAAGATTTGTGAATCATTCAGAAGCAAGACAAAGCAGTGCCACGGCCTTTAGTGCCATCATCAAACAAAATAATACCATTATCCAACTATTATTAACCATAACAGAACGGATAAGAGACTTAGAAGAAAAGGTTCAACAGATCCAGCAGAAATCTTCAGCTTTACCATCTGAAACCTTTGAATCTTCACTCTCTGCTCTTCAAAATCAGCTAGAAAGCTTATCCCTTGGTGAACCTGCCAGTTCCACCAAAATCACAAAACCTAAAGGTCCTTTGTTTGTTTTTAAAGATCCTAAGAAAATCTTCCAGTCGAAAAAACTTAAAGGAACCTAGATGGCATCCACCTCCTCTAACCGTACCACA